CTGTGTGAAAGCACATATTTCTAAATTTAGAAGCAGGGTTGACATTAATTTATACAGATTTCTATGTAAAATACTAATGACATGTCATGTTTTAACCTCAAAACTCCAAATTATGACTTTCAAAGGAGGATTATGCATCTGACATGTAGAAAGAAGTTAGAAAATGTTGGTTTTTTATTTTATATGACTTTAAACTCTGTGCACCACCTGACCGCAGTCAATTATAGTGTCTACAGCCTTTGCCGTAAAAGCACTTTAGGCTGATTTTTTCAAGAATAGACTAATTCTGGGTTTGCGAATGAGTTTTCAACAAAAGCGACAACTGCGATTAAATGTGAAGAAGTAAAACATGTTTTTAAAAAGTGTTAAATTTTACAGAGACTGGGTTTACTTTCATTTTATTCACCTTAAGTGATTCATTTATTACTGGAGTGGAGGAATAGAAATAATGAAATGAGTTAAATTTGTCTAACAAAAGTAATGCACAAATAAAATTTATTAAGAATTTTTCAAAAATAAGAAGCTTATGACCAAAAATGCATAAATACTGTCAGGGCATGAGAGTGAATACTTATTCTGAGTCCCAACCATGCATCACACATATGGTGCAGAATGTCACTTAGCGCCATGGTATGCCTGTTATGGTTCTCTAGACTTTTTCCATGCTTTCGCAGCTGACATTCAAGATTTTTCAGTTTGCCGGAGAATGTTTTTTGTCATTTTACAACTTTTATGTAGGTGTTGACCCTCTCTTTTAAATTAAGTCTCAGTCAGGATGTTTATTTTAGCATGATTTGTTAAACACATTAATATACTGAAATATTAATAAATTACAAATTAAAGTGATGAAGAAATTTGACATATTTACACAATCAAAATATCAGAATAACCATAATTCAGCTAATAAAATGCCATGTTCTTCTTTTGTCACTTCCTATAAATTTTATCAGCATTTTTTGTACACCCACCCACCTCCAAGAATCATGGAGGATGGCCTGATATTAGTTTCTTTGTTGCATTTATTCACATTTAAAAGTGTTAAGACCCATAAAAATGTTTAAGATTTATATTTTCAAATTTAAATGTTGAATTTTTATGTAAATTTGGTGAAACAAAAAGCTGTAATCTTGAATTAATCATGCAAATTCATCAAACACCTTTGAAATTCCTGAGTAATTCAGTGAAAAGAGGATAATTATGTATGTTCAATTGGAATTTCATGGCTAATTTGTGTCTGCAGAGAAAGCCAGTTACATAAATCACAACAATAAATTACATCTGAATTGTTTTCTCCATTTTCTTATCATCAAAGCAAGTTTAATGGAGTGTCAGAGCTGTCTAGAACCTCCCCAGATGCTGATATCATTTGGACTGCCCTGTGTTACAACACAGCTTTTAGATAAACTTCTGCATAGCAGGTTGTAGACAAGAACCTAGGCTTTATTTGGAACATAAATTGACCCGATGCAGATTTTATTATCAGCCTAATATTTAACAATTTCTGTAAATTTTGTCATTCTTAGGAGGGTAAAATGCAATTTTGTTATGTAATAATTGCATAATGGTCTCAGACTTGTGAATTATTTTTTGTTTGTTGTGAAGAACAATGCATATACTCTCCACGGATACAAAATTGGTTGCCAGGCTTAGTCTATTAAGGATGAAATTCTGCTTCAAAATATGCACAAAAAACTTCTGTCAGAGTGCTCAGTGTGTATTCTTGACTGCTCTGGAGTAAGGGAGATAAATGCATCATATCTCCAGCAATAATGGGAATTAGATCCCCAGACTTCAGGATGTTAGTGACAGTTATTTAAGAAATCTCAGGTGCAAAAAAGAAAAAAATCTGACAACTTCAAAGGTCCTTCAAGGTATCACACCGGTAATTGACCAATCAAAATGAACTTAGTCAATTGTAGTTCCATACATAATAAAGAAATATTTTTTTATTGTGAGAAATTTTTTTAATTTCCCTTATTCTATTTTTACATTTTTGGTATCTGTGCTTAGGATATTTTATGTACTTTGTAAAATATTAAAGGTTTTTGACAGGAACTATTTCTTTCGGGGCATAGGAGGCCACTTCCTGGGGTGCACACAGGATGTTTATAAACACATTGAATACACGTGGTTTTGAGGGTATTCCTGTTTGCGGATGGAGAAAATCAGAAAATGCCGTGTAGGTACCCTATTTTTTGGTGTCAGCTGATGTGACTGGTAACGTTTAACACTTCCTGCTAAATATTTTTTCATGAATTCGAATACCTGATTTTTAATGATTTTTTATTCTATATAGAATTACATAGTGAAAACAATTACCGGTGTGATACCTTGAAGGTGATTGTGTAAAATCATCTACACCCATATTAAAGGCAGTTTTAATTTTATAAAGGCATATTTCAACAAAATATGTCATTTTATGAACTTTCTGTGTGAAAGCACATATTTCTAAATTTAGAAGCAGGGTTGACATTAATTTATACAGATTTCTATGTAAAATACTAATGACATGTCATGTTTTAACCTCAAAACTCCAAATTATGACTTTCAAAGGAGGATTATGCATCTGACATGTAGAAAGAAGTTAGAAAATGTTGGTTTTTTATTTTATATGACTTTAAACTCTGTGCACCACCTGACCGCAGTCAATTATAGTGTCTACAGCCTTTGCCGTAAAAGCACTTTAGGCTGATTTTTTCAAGAATAGACTAATTCTGGGTTTGCGAATGAGTTTTCAACAAAAGCGACAACTGCGATTAAATGTGAAGAAGTAAAACATGTTTTTAAAAAGTGTTAAATTTTACAGAGACTGGGTTTACTTTCATTTTATTCACCTTAAGTGATTCATTTATTACTGGAGTGGAGGAATAGAAATAATGAAATGAGTTAAATTTGTCTAACAAAAGTAATGCACAAATAAAATTTATTAAGAATTTTTCAAAAATAAGAAGCTTATGACCAAAAATGCATAAATACTGTCAGGGCATGAGAGTGAATACTTATTCTGAGTCCCAACCATGCATCACACATATGGTGCAGAATGTCACTTAGCACCATGGTATGCCTGTTATGGTTCTCTAGACTTTTTCCATGCTTTCGCAGCTGACATTCAAGATTTTTCAGTTTGCCGGAGAATGTTTTTTGTCATTTTACAACTTTTATGTAGGTGTTGACCCTCTCTTTTAAATTAAGTCTCAGTCAGGATGTTTATTTTAGCATGATTTGTTAAACACATTAATATACTGAAATATTAATAAATTACAAATTAAAGTGATGAAGAAATTTGACATATTTACACAATCAAAATATCAGAATAACCATAATTCAGCTAATAAAATGCCATGTTCTTCTTTTGTCACTTCCTATAAATTTTATCAGCATTTTTTGTACACCCACCCACCTCCAAGAATCATGGAGGATGGCCTGATATTAGTTTCTTTGTTGCATTTATTCACATTTAAAAGTGTTAAGACCCATAAAAATGTTTAAGATTTATATTTTCAAATTTAAATGTTGAATTTTTATGTAAATTTGGTGAAACAAAAAGCTGTAATCTTGAATTAATCATGCAAATTCATCAAACACCTTTGAAATTCCTGAGTAATTCAGTGAAAAGAGGATAATTATGTATGTTCAATTGGAATTTCATGGCTAATTTGTGTCTGCAGAGAAAGCCAGTTACATAAATCACAACAATAAATTACATCTGAATTGTTTTCTCCATTTTCTTATCATCAAAGCAAGTTTAATGGAGTGTCAGAGCTGTCTAGAACCTCCCCAGATGCTGATATCATTTGGACTGCCCTGTGTTACAACACAGCTTTTAGATAAACTTCTGCATAGCAGGTTGTAGACAAGAACCTAGGCTTTATTTGGAACATAAATTGACCCGATGCAGATTTTATTATCAGCCTAATATTTAACAATTTCTGTAAATTTTGTCATTCTTAGGAGGGTAAAATGCAATTTTGTTATGTAATAATTGCATAATGGTCTCAGACTTGTGAATTATTTTTTGTTTGTTGTGAAGAACAATGCATATACTCTCCACGGATACAAAATTGGTTGCCAGGCTTAGTCTATTAAGGATGAAATTCTGCTTCAAAATATGCACAAAAAACTTCTGTCAGAGTGCTCAGTGTGTATTCTTGACTGCTCTGGAGTAAGGGAGATAAATGCATCATATCTCCAGCAATAATGGGAATTAGATCCCCAGACTTCAGGATGTTAGTGACAGTTATTTAAGAAATCTCAGGTGCAAAAAAGAAAAAAATCTGACAACTTCAAAGGTCCTTCAAGGTATCACACCGGTAATTGACCAATCAAAATGAACTTAGTCAATTGTAGTTCCATACATAATAAAGAAATATTTTTTTATTGTGAGAAATTTTTTTAATTTCCCTTATTCTATTTTTACATTTTTGGTATCTGTGCTTAGGATATTTTATGTACTTTGTAAAATATTAAAGGTTTTTGACAGGAACTATTTCTTTCGGGGCATAGGAGGCCACTTCCTGGGGTGCACACAGGATGTTTATAAACACATTGAATACACGTGGTTTTGAGGGTATTCCTGTTTGCGGATGGAGAAAATCAGAAAATGCCGTGTAGGTACCCTATTTTTTGGTGTCAGCTGATGTGACTGGTAACGTTTAACACTTCCTGCTAAATATTTTTTCATGAATTCGAATACCTGATTTTTAATGATTTTTTATTCTATATAGAATTACATAGTGAAAACAATTACCGGTGTGATACCTTGAAGGTGATTGTGTAAAATCATCTACACCCATATTAAAGGCAGTTTTAATTTTATAAAGGCATATTTCAACAAAATATGTCATTTTATGAACTTTCTGTGTGAAAGCACATATTTCTAAATTTAGAAGCAGGGTTGACATTAATTTATACAGATTTCTATGTAAAATACTAATGACATGTCATGTTTTAACCTCAAAACTCCAAATTATGACTTTCAAAGGAGGATTATGCATCTGACATGTAGAAAGAAGTTAGAAAATGTTGGTTTTTTATTTTATATGACTTTAAACTCTGTGCACCACCTGACCGCAGTCAATTATAGTGTCTACAGCCTTTGCCGTAAAAGCACTTTAGGCTGATTTTTTCAAGAATAGACTAATTCTGGGTTTGCGAATGAGTTTTCAACAAAAGCGACAACTGCGATTAAATGTGAAGAAGTAAAACATGTTTTTAAAAAGTGTTAAATTTTACAGAGACTGGGTTTACTTTCATTTTATTCACCTTAAGTGATTCATTTATTACTGGAGTGGAGGAATAGAAATAATGAAATGAGTTAAATTTGTCTAACAAAAGTAATGCACAAATAAAATTTATTAAGAATTTTTCAAAAATAAGAAGCTTATGACCAAAAATGCATAAATACTGTCAGGGCATGAGAGTGAATACTTATTCTGAGTCCCAACCATGCATCACACATATGGTGCAGAATGTCACTTAGCGCCATGGTATGCCTGTTATGGTTCTCTAGACTTTTTCCATGCTTTCGCAGCTGACATTCAAGATTTTTCAGTTTGCCGGAGAATGTTTTTTGTCATTTTACAACTTTTATGTAGGTGTTGACCCTCTCTTTTAAATTAAGTCTCAGTCAGGATGTTTATTTTAGCATGATTTGTTAAACACATTAATATACTGAAATATTAATAAATTACAAATTAAAGTGATGAAGAAATTTGACATATTTACACAATCAAAATATCAGAATAACCATAATTCAGCTAATAAAATGCCATGTTCTTCTTTTGTCACTTCCTATAAATTTTATCAGCATTTTTTGTACACCCACCCACCTCCAAGAATCATGGAGGATGGCCTGATATTAGTTTCTTTGTTGCATTTATTCACATTTAAAAGTGTTAAGACCCATAAAAATGTTTAAGATTTATATTTTCAAATTTAAATGTTGAATTTTTATGTAAATTTGGTGAAACAAAAAGCTGTAATCTTGAATTAATCATGCAAATTCATCAAACACCTTTGAAATTCCTGAGTAATTCAGTGAAAAGAGGATAATTATGTATGTTCAATTGGAATTTCATGGCTAATTTGTGTCTGCAGAGAAAGCCAGTTACATAAATCACAACAATAAATTACATCTGAATTGTTTTCTCCATTTTCTTATCATCAAAGCAAGTTTAATGGAGTGTCAGAGCTGTCTAGAACCTCCCCAGATGCTGATATCATTTGGACTGCCCTGTGTTACAACACAGCTTTTAGATAAACTTCTGCATAGCAGGTTGTAGACAAGAACCTAGGCTTTATTTGGAACATAAATTGACCCGATGCAGATTTTATTATCAGCCTAATATTTAACAATTTCTGTAAATTTTGTCATTCTTAGGAGGGTAAAATGCAATTTTGTTATGTAATAATTGCATAATGGTCTCAGACTTGTGAATTATTTTTTGTTTGTTGTGAAGAACAATGCATATACTCTCCACGGATACAAAATTGGTTGCCAGGCTTAGTCTATTAAGGATGAAATTCTGCTTCAAAATATGCACAAAAAACTTCTGTCAGAGTGCTCAGTGTGTATTCTTGACTGCTCTGGAGTAAGGGAGATAAATGCATCATATCTCCAGCAATAATGGGAATTAGATCCCCAGACTTCAGGATGTTAGTGACAGTTATTTAAGAAATCTCAGGTGCAAAAAAGAAAAAAATCTGACAACTTCAAAGGTCCTTCAAGGTATCACACCGGTAATTGACCAATCAAAATGAACTTAGTCAATTGTAGTTCCATACATAATAAAGAAATATTTTTTTATTGTGAGAAATTTTTTTAATTTCCCTTATTCTATTTTTACATTTTTGGTATCTGTGCTTAGGATATTTTATGTACTTTGTAAAATATTAAAGGTTTTTGACAGGAACTATTTCTTTCGGGGCATAGGAGGCCACTTCCTGGGGTGCACACAGGATGTTTATAAACACATTGAATACACGTGGTTTTGAGGGTATTCCTGTTTGCGGATGGAGAAAATCAGAAAATGCCGTGTAGGTACCCTATTTTTTGGTGTCAGCTGATGTGACTGGTAACGTTTAACACTTCCTGCTAAATATTTTTTCATGAATTCGAATACCTGATTTTTAATGATTTTTTATTCTATATAGAATTACATAGTGAAAACAATTACCGGTGTGATACCTTGAAGGTGATTGTGTAAAATCATCTACACCCATATTAAAGGCAGTTTTAATTTTATAAAGGCATATTTCAACAAAATATGTCATTTTATGAACTTTCTGTGTGAAAGCACATATTTCTAAATTTAGAAGCAGGGTTGACATTAATTTATACAGATTTCTATGTAAAATACTAATGACATGTCATGTTTTAACCTCAAAACTCCAAATTATGACTTTCAAAGGAGGATTATGCATCTGACATGTAGAAAGAAGTTAGAAAATGTTGGTTTTTTATTTTATATGACTTTAAACTCTGTGCACCACCTGACCGCAGTCAATTATAGTGTCTACAGCCTTTGCCGTAAAAGCACTTTAGGCTGATTTTTTCAAGAATAGACTAATTCTGGGTTTGCGAATGAGTTTTCAACAAAAGCGACAACTGCGATTAAATGTGAAGAAGTAAAACATGTTTTTAAAAAGTGTTAAATTTTACAGAGACTGGGTTTACTTTCATTTTATTCACCTTAAGTGATTCATTTATTACTGGAGTGGAGGAATAGAAATAATGAAATGAGTTAAATTTGTCTAACAAAAGTAATGCACAAATAAAATTTATTAAGAATTTTTCAAAAATAAGAAGCTTATGACCAAAAATGCATAAATACTGTCAGGGCATGAGAGTGAATACTTATTCTGAGTCCCAACCATGCATCACACATATGGTGCAGAATGTCACTTAGCGCCATGGTATGCCTGTTATGGTTCTCTAGACTTTTTCCATGCTTTCGCAGCTGACATTCAAGATTTTTCAGTTTGCCGGAGAATGTTTTTTGTCATTTTACAACTTTTATGTAGGTGTTGACCCTCTCTTTTAAATTAAGTCTCAGTCAGGATGTTTATTTTAGCATGATTTGTTAAACACATTAATATACTGAAATATTAATAAATTACAAATTAAAGTGATGAAGAAATTTGACATATTTACACAATCAAAATATCAGAATAACCATAATTCAGCTAATAAAATGCCATGTTCTTCTTTTGTCACTTCCTATAAATTTTATCAGCATTTTTTGTACACCCACCCACCTCCAAGAATCATGGAGGATGGCCTGATATTAGTTTCTTTGTTGCATTTATTCACATTTAAAAGTGTTAAGACCCATAAAAATGTTTAAGATTTATATTTTCAAATTTAAATGTTGAATTTTTATGTAAATTTGGTGAAACAAAAAGCTGTAATCTTGAATTAATCATGCAAATTCATCAAACACCTTTGAAATTCCTGAGTAATTCAGTGAAAAGAGGATAATTATGTATGTTCAATTGGAATTTCATGGCTAATTTGTGTCTGCAGAGAAAGCCAGTTACATAAATCACAACAATAAATTACATCTGAATTGTTTTCTCCATTTTCTTATCATCAAAGCAAGTTTAATGGAGTGTCAGAGCTGTCTAGAACCTCCCCAGATGCTGATATCATTTGGACTGCCCTGTGTTACAACACAGCTTTTAGATAAACTTCTGCATAGCAGGTTGTAGACAAGAACCTAGGCTTTATTTGGAACATAAATTGACCCGATGCAGATTTTATTATCAGCCTAATATTTAACAATTTCTGTAAATTTTGTCATTCTTAGGAGGGTAAAATGCAATTTTGTTATGTAATAATTGCATAATGGTCTCAGACTTGTGAATTATTTTTTGTTTGTTGTGAAGAACAATGCATATACTCTCCACGGATACAAAATTGGTTGCCAGGCTTAGTCTATTAAGGATGAAATTCTGCTTCAAAATATGCACAAAAAACTTCTGTCAGAGTGCTCAGTGTGTATTCTTGACTGCTCTGGAGTAAGGGAGATAAATGCATCATATCTCCAGCAATAATGGGAATTAGATCCCCAGACTTCAGGATGTTAGTGACAGTTATTTAAGAAATCTCAGGTGCAAAAAAGAAAAAAATCTGACAACTTCAAAGGTCCTTCAAGGTATCACACCGGTAATTGACCAATCAAAATGAACTTAGTCAATTGTAGTTCCATACATAATAAAGAAATATTTTTTTATTGTGAGAAATTTTTTTAATTTCCCTTATTCTATTTTTACATTTTTGGTATCTGTGCTTAGGATATTTTATGTACTTTGTAAAATATTAAAGGTTTTTGACAGGAACTATTTCTTTCGGGGCATAGGAGGCCACTTCCTGGGGTGCACACAGGATGTTTATAAACACATTGAATACACGTGGTTTTGAGGGTATTCCTGTTTGCGGATGGAGAAAATCAGAAAATGCCGTGTAGGTACCCTATTTTTTGGTGTCAGCTGATGTGACTGGTAACGTTTAACACTTCCTGCTAAATATTTTTTCATGAATTCGAATACCTGATTTTTAATGATTTTTTATTCTATATAGAATTACATAGTGAAAACAATTACCGGTGTGATACCTTGAAGGTGATTGTGTAAAATCATCTACACCCATATTAAAGGCAGTTTTAATTTTATAAAGGCATATTTCAACAAAATATGTCATTTTATGAACTTTCTGTGTGAAAGCACATATTTCTAAATTTAGAAGCAGGGTTGACATTAATTTATACAGATTTCTATGTAAAATACTAATGACATGTCATGTTTTAACCTCAAAACTCCAAATTATGACTTTCAAAGGAGGATTATGCATCTGACATGTAGAAAGAAGTTAGAAAATGTTGGTTTTTTATTTTATATGACTTTAAACTCTGTGCACCACCTGACCGCAGTCAATTATAGTGTCTACAGCCTTTGCCGTAAAAGCACTTTAGGCTGATTTTTTCAAGAATAGACTAATTCTGGGTTTGCGAATGAGTTTTCAACAAAAGCGACAACTGCGATTAAATGTGAAGAAGTAAAACATGTTTTTAAAAAGTGTTAAATTTTACAGAGACTGGGTTTACTTTCATTTTATTCACCTTAAGTGATTCATTTATTACTGGAGTGGAGGAATAGAAATAATGAAATGAGTTAAATTTGTCTAACAAAAGTAATGCACAAATAAAATTTATTAAGAATTTTTCAAAAATAAGAAGCTTATGACCAAAAATGCATAAATACTGTCAGGGCATGAGAGTGAATACTTATTCTGAGTCCCAACCATGCATCACACATATGGTGCAGAATGTCACTTAGCGCCATGGTATGCCTGTTATGGTTCTCTAGACTTTTTCCATGCTTTCGCAGCTGACATTCAAGATTTTTCAGTTTGCCGGAGAATGTTTTTTGTCATTTTACAACTTTTATGTAGGTGTTGACCCTCTCTTTTAAATTAAGTCTCAGTCAGGATGTTTATTTTAGCATGATTTGTTAAACACATTAATATACTGAAATATTAATAAATTACAAATTAAAGTGATGAAGAAATTTGACATATTTACACAATCAAAATATCAGAATAACCATAATTCAGCTAATAAAATGCCATGTTCTTCTTTTGTCACTTCCTATAAATTTTATCAGCATTTTTTGTACACCCACCCACCTCCAAGAATCATGGAGGATGGCCTGATATTAGTTTCTTTGTTGCATTTATTCACATTTAAAAGTGTTAAGACCCATAAAAATGTTTAAGATTTATATTTTCAAATTTAAATGTTGAATTTTTATGTAAATTTGGTGAAACAAAAAGCTGTAATCTTGAATTAATCATGCAAATTCATCAAACACCTTTGAAATTCCTGAGTAATTCAGTGAAAAGAGGATAATTATGTATGTTCAATTGGAATTTCATGGCTAATTTGTGTCTGCAGAGAAAGCCAGTTACATAAATCACAACAATAAATTACATCTGAATTGTTTTCTCCATTTTCTTATCATCAAAGCAAGTTTAATGGAGTGTCAGAGCTGTCTAGAACCTCCCCAGATGCTGATATCATTTGGACTGCCCTGTGTTACAACACAGCTTTTAGATAAACTTCTGCATAGCAGGTTGTAGACAAGAACCTAGGCTTTATTTGGAACATAAATTGACCCGATGCAGATTTTATTATCAGCCTAATATTTAACAATTTCTGTAAATTTTGTCATTCTTAGGAGGGTAAAATGCAATTTTGTTATGTAATAATTGCATAATGGTCTCAGACTTGTGAATTATTTTTTGTTTGTTGTGAAGAACAATGCATATACTCTCCACGGATACAAAATTGGTTGCCAGGCTTAGTCTATTAAGGATGAAATTCTGCTTCAAAATATGCACAAAAAACTTCTGTCAGAGTGCTCAGTGTGTATTCTTGACTGCTCTGGAGTAAGGGAGATAAATGCATCATATCTCCAGCAATAATGGGAATTAGATCCCCAGACTTCAGGATGTTAGTGACAGTTATTTAAGAAATCTCAGGTGCAAAAAAGAAAAAAATCTGACAACTTCAAAGGTCCTTCAAGGTATCACACCGGTAATTGACCAATCAAAATGAACTTAGTCAATTGTAGTTCCATACATAATAAAGAAATATTTTTTTATTGTGAGAAATTTTTTTAATTTCCCTTATTCTATTTTTACATTTTTGGTATCTGTGCTTAGGATATTTTATGTACTTTGTAAAATATTAAAGGTTTTTGACAGGAACTATTTCTTTCGGGGCATAGGAGGCCACTTCCTGGGGTGCACACAGGATGTTTATAAACACATTGAATACACGTGGTTTTGAGGGTATTCCTGTTTGCGGATGGAGAAAATCAGAAAATGCCGTGTAGGTACCCTATTTTTTGGTGTCAGCTGATGTGACTGGTAACGTTTAACACTTCCTGCTAAATATTTTTTCATGAATTCGAATACCTGATTTTTAATGATTTTTTATTCTATATAGAATTACATAGTGAAAACAATTACCGGTGTGATACCTTGAAGGTGATTGTGTAAAATCATCTACACCCATATTAAAGGCAGTTTTAATTTTATAAAGGCATATTTCAACAAAATATGTCATTTTATGAACTTTCTGTGTGAAAGCACATATTTCTAAATTTAGAAGCAGGGTTGACATTAATTTATACAGATTTCTATGTAAAATACTAATGACATGTCATGTTTTAACCTCAAAACTCCAAATTATGACTTTCAAAGGAGGATTATGCATCTGACATGTAGAAAGAAGTTAGAAAATGTTGGTTTTTTATTTTATATGACTTTAAACTCTGTGCACCACCTGACCGCAGTCAATTATAGTGTCTACAGCCTTTGCCGTAAAAGCACTTTAGGCTGATTTTTTCAAGAATAGACTAATTCTGGGTTTGCGAATGAGTTTTCAACAAAAGCGACAACTGCGATTAAATGTGAAGAAGTAAAACATGTTTTTAAAAAGTGTTAAATTTTACAGAGACTGGGTTTAC